AGGGTCCCTTCCTCATTCTCCCTGCCCAGGCCCAGCTGGGCTCCAGACAGGATGCTAAAGCCTCTATTGTTTGAACAGAGAAGAAATCAGCCCGGAGGTTACCTTCCTGGCCACGGTCCCTCAACAGCTCTGCAGCAGAGCAGGATCTGAATCCAGGCCCCCAAAACCAGAATTCAGCCCTCCATCTCCTTATGGGTTTGGCCCTAAGGGCCTAAGCTCAGGGCTCTATCCCTTGTTAGGACATCCCTCAAACAGCAGGGAAAGCCAGAAGCAGCACCTCAAGAAGGCACAGAAGCCACTCTGCTGTGTAAGAAGTCAGTGTGAGCACCTCAAGCTGCCCCTAGCTGGTGTGCAAAGATGGGTCCTAAACGGCACATCTCCATTTGCCCAGCCCAAGCCTCAGCAAGCACAAGCCCTGTCCGCAGAAAACTGCTGATGGAGAGGTGCCTTTTCTGGCTGAGTCAGGGTTCACAGAAGGCTGTAGTGGCCCCTGGCCGGGCTAGAGGAAGGAAGCCTAACTGTTCCTCTCTCTGTAGGATAAGGGCCAGGCATCACAGGGCAAGTGGAAGCCCTAATGACAAGGGTCCCGGCCAGGCAGCTCCTTTCTCCTCCCTAGACCCAGATGTCAGAAGGCTGGCCAGGCCGGCAGAGAAGACTGGGCATCGATGCTCTGACTCTCGGCTCCCTGTTTGCTAAGATGTATTGAGTATCGACTCTGCATTGTGCTGAGTCTCTGCTCAGGTTCCCTACAGTACAATCCCACCAACATTTCCTGAGTGTCTGCTACAGGCCAGGCCTGGCGGATGTAGAAATGGGCGGGATAGCATCTGGCCACAAGGGCTCAGGAAGCACCCTAGGCCACGGAACCACACAGGACCAAAGAGGAAGGCCTCAGTAGAGACAGAAAGAGAGGAGATGGGAAGAGAAAGGAGGGGTGTGGGAGACAGCAGAGACATCGGATCTGCTTCCTCCACAGAGCTTGGGGTGATGCTGGGGAGAAGGCAGCCAGCCTACTGGGGGGCAGGGGGCGGGTCACAGAAGGCACACTGAGGCTGGTTGCTAGAGGCCTGGTACAGGCCAGTCAGGTGTAGAAACACTTCATGCGAGCTTTCTGTCAGCGCCTCACACCTGTCCATGGCATAGCTAGGAAGAGCCAGTGGCAGCACTCTAGCTTCCGAGGGCCATGCTGTGCCACGCGTGCTAGCCTCCGAAGCTTCCTGATTCTGGAGGGAACACAATGAGGAGGGGAAGGAGATGGGAAAAGTAGTCTTTGAGGACATCAGCCAACCCATTCGTTGTTGAGAACTGTAGTGTGCATGCACGCATGTGTGTACATGCATACATAAGGCATGCACTTGAACATGTGTCCTATTTTCAAACGCAACATCCCCGGTTTCAGAAATCCTTTAGCTAAATAATGGGCCACTAGCAGGGCAGGGCAGGGCAGGACAGGGCGGTTCAGAGAGGAGAAGGAACTTAGCTAAAGTCACACAGCATACAAACAGTGGAGCTAGGACTATTGGCAAGATCAGAAACCAGGTCTCTTGTCTCCCCTCTGACGCTTCTCCAAGTCAGCACAGAGTTCAAGTGCGTCATCTGCTGACAGGAAACTCACTGCTGCTGGGGGAATCCCTGGGTGAGTCAGGAACAAGCCATCCCCACCATCCCAGAGGACACCAATTGGGCCCTCAGGGCGGTGTACTGGGTTCTGCCAGAGTCAGCATCTGGGGCAGGAGGAGGAGGAAAGCCACACATCCCACACCACACGTTCCCTGTTTACCTCTGGGCTTCCTCTCCAGACTGTGCAGGCCAGGTTGGGGTGTGGGGAGCCACAGGCAGGGCAGTTCCCGGCTGAGATTAAACAGGGCCTCTCACCACCACCCCAAGCCCCATCCTGTTTTACAAAGGGGCCCAGACCAAGCAGCTCCACAGAGCAAAGCCAACTCCTGGCTGTTTGATGCTCTTGATTAAATCAGAACCACCCCCAGGCTTCCCACGAGACAGAGGAAGTGGGCATAACGGGCCCAGGACCAAGCCAGGGAAGCCAGCAGGCCTTGGCCCTCCGAATCTGAAGCAGCACTCAGGGCCTAGATCTACTCAGCAATGGAAAGAGCTGTCTGCCCCCCCCCACCCCCACACACCCCTTCAGAGGCCAGGGCTGGGTCGCTGGATTGGAGGAGGATGGCCAGACAATGGGAGCTTCCTCTTGTAAAGTCTAGGCCTCAAGAGAGGGGCTGTCCCTGCCTACAGAAACTCCACCGAAATCCAGGGAACCCCAATTCACCTAGCTTAAGACTGGCTGCCTGGTACCAGAGATGTCATGTGGCTAACTGGGATAGGTAGGGACTTGGGCCACTCTTCTGAGCCCATACTAGGGTGGGGTAGAGAAGACTGGCTGAGGAATAGAAGGAAAAGCAGGGCATGGCTGGAAGTCTGGTCCTCCTCATCCCTGTGGCCCCTCCTCCTTCTGATGGTGCTCCCCTATGGCTGGAGCCTCCTCCTCCATGCCCAGCTGCAGTCATCTCTAGAGCCACCAAGATCCTTCTTTCCCCATCACTATGGCCAATAATCTTTTACCCTTCAACTTCAGGATCCTTCACCACAGCACAGCTGACAGACTATCTGTCCTGTAGTTCCCACTCTGCTCAAAAGGCTTCACCTGCTTCCACTTCTATAGTTTGAGTCTAAACACCTCACCGCTGCATTCAAAGCCCTCTGTGAGCCTCCATCCCACCAGCCACTCATGCTTGGCTGTCCTTTTAGGCAAGCCCACACTTTAGCACCGATGAACCCAGCCATTTCCTGAGAGATCCGTGGGCAGGCACTGAGCTCCTTGCCTTTGTCTAAGCCAGAGACACCATCTTTGCTCTCTCTGGCTACCTCCACTTTCCAATCTATAAGGCCTTGGAGATCCCTTAAAGGCTTTTCCTGCATGTATCTTATATATCAAAGTCCCAGCTATCCCTGATCCACACAGCTGTAGGACAGACAGAGCAGTGAGAGGAAGGCTCTGTTTAGAGGTTTATTAAGCACAAATAGTAGTCAACATCGCTTTCCCGCCACCACAGGCACTATCTAGCAAGTCCCCTTTCTCCCTACATACCAGACCCTCATCTTTTTTCTTTTCTGCTCTGGGGCTGGGTGCTGTCCCTGAGCTCCTTCTTGCTCAAGGCTAGTGCTCTGCCAATTGAGCCATAGCACCACTTCCGGCTTTTTCCATGATTAATTAGAGATAAGAGTCTAACATACTTTCCCGCCTTAGCTGACTTTAAACTGCAATCCTCAGATCTCAGCTTCTTGAGTAGCTAGGAATACAGGTGTGGGCCACGGCCTGATCCAAACCCAACCAACACTGGGAAGTCTAGGCAAAAAGTCCTGCTCAAGTTTCACCCCTTACCCTGCACCCTGGTTTCTCAAGTGTTTCCCAACTTCTGAATATTCCCCTTACTCTCTCTCCCCTCCCCAACACAACCTCCTCCACATGGTACAGCCTTCCATCAGACTCTTGTCTCATGGTATTTCCCAGCTGGTCCCACAGCAAATGACTCATCTCTCCAGAAGGGGTAGAGATCTAAAATGCAAGTGTCCTTTGTGACCAGCCATGCCCAGCAGATAGTGGGTGCCCACATGACCCCTCACCTGCACACCAAACCACATATTCATTATGATAGCTGGATTCCAGCCCCCAGGTTGGTACATCCCCTTGTAGATGCTCACTAAGCAGTTTGGGTTTCTTTAATAGAAACTTCTCCAACTTTAACCCAAACTACAGAAAACTCTGCCACTCTTCAGGCCAGGTGTCACACTCCCCAACCCACAAACCAACCAGAGTGATTGCAGTGGCAGGTATCAAATTCTGGCTCTTGAGGTGTGTGTGTCTGGGGGTCTGTGGTCAGCTTTCAGCCCTCCATCCCTGCCCATCAGGGTCATGTAGTGAGCTGTCATGTAGCGAGGTCCCTGGGCACCAGCACCTTGTTAGGCACAGCGTGTGCATCACTTTGTTCTCTGTTCAGTTCAGTGCTTGCTGTAACTGATAGGTTGTCACTACCCTCTCACAGATGAGGAAACAAAAGCTTGAAAGGGGAGTGGAATCCAAATGAATCCCAAAGCTCTACAAGCCCCTTGACCACAGACAGTGCTGGCATCCCAGTTAGTGCAATCTGGCACACAGCACTCACTGCCAGGCAGGAAATGAACTGTGGGTATATTATCAAGAGCCTCAGGGTCTAAGCTTAACTGGGCCCAAACTTTCATGGGGTTTCCCCTTCTCTTCCCCTATTCACTGCAACAAGAGAACTAGTCCTTCCTGGGCCTCTTCCAGCTCACCTGGAAATGCCTTGCTAAGTTTCCCGGGTCAAGTCTCAGCCCCACTGAGCTCTTCTCCAGATTTCAGGGCGGAGGGAAAGAATGGAAACTTTCTCCTGGCGTTGAGCTCCCCTTCCCAGGGTCCGGGGGCTTCAGTCCCAGGCAGCTACTGGGGAATTTTCTTTTTTCTCTTTACTAGGCCCTCACTGTGTAGACCAGGCTGGCCCTCCAACTAGCCATCCTTCTGCCTCGACCTCCCCGGTGACTGGTGCCCACATCTGGCTCCAGTGCAATTTAGGAGAGAAAAAAAAAAACCACAACAAAGCAGCTTCCCTTGGTCTCAGTTTGCAAGAAGAGAAACTCGAGGGAAACAACGCCACCCGCCATCTAAATACCTGTGGCCTCGCTGCGGGGCTCTCACCTGCCAGAGCTCCCCTGCTAGATTTGGGTAGGAAAGCACACACAGGATTCTGGGGTTACCTGGATGAACTTGCTCGTTTGGAACCCGAGAGCTCCAGAGCCAGGGGCGGGGACGGCCCGGAGTCGGCGGAGTCGGAGCGGGTGGGGGGGGGGGGTGAGGGGGGGAGAGGGGGCGGGGGGCGAGGGGGGATCCGGACGCGGAGGCCGAGGCTGCTCACAACACACCAGCTGTCACTTGTTGCGAGAAATCGGCTCCAGCTGGCTGCAAAACTCACTTTGCTTCGGGATGTCCCGCCGGCCCTCCACCGGGTCCCGTCTCACCTGCTGGCTCTACTTCCTCCTCCGCGCGGCAAGCAGGAGGGCTGGCGTCCCCGGCTGGCGTCCGGGTCCGACGGCGCAGCTCCGGGCTCTGCCGCTCCGCCGCCGGCCCCCTCCCGGAACGCAACGGCCTCGCCCAGGCCCCGCCCCTCGGGAGGGAGGCCCCGCCCATGACACGCCCCCCTTCGCTGTCCCGTCAGCCCCGCCCTTGACTCTGCTGGAGATAGCTTGGCTCTCAGTCGGGGCCAGGCCACGCCCACTAGAGGTTGAGTAGCGAGCAGAAGAGACCACGCCCCTTCACCGCAGATAAAAGAGGCCACGCCCCCTGTCCCCAAGGAGAAGAGGCCCCGCCCCTTGGCCCGCCCTGCTCTGGCCAGGCTCCAGTATCCCCAGCCCGCTCCAACTGCTGGTCGCTCCTGGGCCCCCGTACTCGGTGCGCTCCCGTAAGTCCAGCCCCCAATCCTGCTCACTCACAGCCCAGCTGAGAGGCTTGGTCCCTCTTGGGCCTCCCTCCCCCGTCCCGCCCCCCCTCTCCAGCGCTCCTTCCTCCCTGGGGGCCCCAGCACGGGCTCTCCCGGGGTGAGGCACGCCCCTCCCCAGCACCTCCCTAATCCTGGTCTCCCTGGCAACCCTGCCCGGGGCCGCGGGCCGGGCCCCCACGCTGGCATTCCAGGGCGGATGTACCCGGGTGCCACCCGGGATGGGCTCCGGCGTGGGAGCCGCGCGCGCTCCAAGTCGGGGCTTCCACCCGGAGGCCGCCGGGGCGCCGGCGCTGGCGGAAAACGCAGCCTCCAGTGACCGAACTCCTGGCCCGCTGGGGCCAGGCTCTGTGAAAGTACTGACCCTTGAGTTCCCACCACCCACCAGGTACGCCTGCTGCGCCCATTTTATGGACGCGCAACCTCAGGAGAAGTCGTGGGCCCAGTCTCATGCTGGAGTCCAGCCCCCAAGCCCTGAATCACAGCCTGGACGCTGCCTCGGCTTGCCTGGACTGGCCCCGGCAGACGCGGCCCAGACCGGCCAGTCGTGGTGGAGCAGGCAGGGGAGGGAGGAGGGGAGGGGGTGAAGCAGGAGGGGCTGCTGCAGGCCTGAGTGCTCAAAACTGGCCTTGTCCCTTGAGAGGTAGCCTAGAAATGAAGTGTGCGAGAAGTTCACCAGGTGGCAGTGGGTTGGGGCCCAGCCTGCACGCCAGCCCTCAGGACTCCCAGGCTCTGCGGGCTTACCAGGCTGGTGACCAGGGCCATTAACCTGGGCAGCTGACAGGGCTTTTTCACCCCATTATCTCACTGGTATCTCACAACAGCCCCATTGTGGGGAAGGGAATGACTCTGCCTGCCTTGCATGGCTGGAAGAGGGCAGGAAGCTAGATCTCAGCCCTGTTCTCCAAGCTTGGTTGGTCCTGAATCAGTATGGTTGGGGGAGGGGGGGGGAGTTGTCTTTGGGGACCTTAACCAGACCTACTGAGTGAGAAATGGCAGCAATTTTTTTTTTTTAACCAAAGCTTCTAGATGATTTGGGACTACTCAGATGTATGGTGAAGACATTGCAGTGCTCTGAGGCCTAGGTTCCCTCACTGGGTGTTTTGTAATCCACTCCAAGCAATTTTTCTCACCTTTCCAGAATGAGCCTTTAAAGAGCGAGTATATGAATGTGAATGCCAGTCCTGAGGGCAGCTGTTGGGAAGTAAATGTGATGGCATACGTAAAGGGCTTGGCCACAGCTTGGCCTGTCCATACCTGATGGGTGTTCTCTTTCAGGCAAACAGTCTCTTTTTATAGAATTTCCATGCCAAGTTCGAGAAGTGAGACCAAGGAATCCCTTGGCCTGTGTCCCCCTCTTATCCTCACAGAGGGACACCATCCATTTTGTAAGATGCCGAGGTCAGGCTGGTGGCTCACACCTGTAATCCTAGCAACTCCGGAGGCTGAGATCTGAACATCTAGGTTTGAAGCCAGCCCCAACAGAAAAGTCCTTGAGACTTATCTCCAATTAACCACCGAAAAGCCAGAAGTAGAGGTATGGTTCAAGTGGTAGAATGCCAGCCTTGAGCAGCAAAAGCCAAACAAAAGTACACACACACACACACACACACACACACACACACACACACACACACACACACACACACACACACACACACACACACACACACACACACACAGCTAAGGTTGAGAAGCACTGAGCTCTTCTGTCTTGACCTGAGTTCCAGTTCCCCACCCTACTCAGCCCTCTCACAATGGGTACAAAATGCCCTCCTCCTCCACCCTGCACCATGTCAACCCCCCCCCCCCTGCCCCGGCCATGCTGAGGGTGTTTTCTATGGTGACTCATAGTTGGGCAAACAGCTGGATCCCATCAGTCCCCCTCTCCCCAGAAGTCCCTCATGTGAGTCCCATTTGCTGTCCCTTCCTGTCTCTGCCACTCAGGACTCTGCACAGAGGCAGCTGGAGCAACAGGGAGGTCAGTCCTGCAGGCAGCCTTGGGAATCCCCCACACACAATCCTCTGCCATCTCTCTGGAAGAGGGATTCAGAGTCTGGTGAGCCTGCCTGGAACTCCCAATTGGGTTGCTCTTGTGACTATGCAGAATGAGCTATAACAGCCCAAATCAAGGCCTGTATACCCTCTGACTGACGTTTATTCTCCTACCTTGACAAATACTCTTTTTGGTCAGGCTTAGGGCTGGAACTCAGGGCCTCACCTGCTAGACAGGTGTTTTGCTGCTGAGCCAGGCCTCCAGCCTCTGGCCCTTTAAAACCATCAAGAAGGCCAGATTCATTGGTTAGGATTCCTGCAGTTCTGGGCAGTAGTGTGGTGGTTGGAGAGGTCACTCTGACTCCAGCCTACAGTCATCCTCCTGCTTCTCTTCCTATCCTCATCTCTGTCCTGTGTCACAAGTAGCTAAGGACTCAGGATATGATCACCCACTTGGTCTACATGACCAGTGCATAGCCAGTGCTTGGTCCACCGGGGCTTGAACTCAGGGCCTCAAACTCTCTTGGCTTTTTCATTCAAGGTTAGCACTCTAATTCTCGAGCCCTGTCTCCACTTCTGGCTTTTTGGTAGTTAATTGCAGGTAAGAGGCTTATGGACTTTCCTGTCCAGGTTTGGCTTTGAACCTCGATCCTCAGATCTCAGCCTCCTGAGTAGCTAGGATTACAGGCGTGAGTCACCAGTACTCGATGGAAAAGTTCAACAAAACTTGGAGGACATTCAAACCCTAACCAAACTGTATCAACCATGTTAAACAAAAATGGTCTATAAGTCTAGTTGGAGTGGTCTCTGTGGTGAAGACTTATTCTCAATGCAGTGTCAGCTGGTGACCTTGGGGTTGGGGGTCCATGTTCAAGATTGCACTAGCCTGGCTCTCAGCCCTCAGCCACGTGCCCATCTAATGCTATCGATCACCAGCCTTACTTCTCCATGAGGCCTCCAGGTAGCTTGGGCTTCCTGATAACAAGGCCGCTGTGCTTTAGAGCAGAAGAGAGGTCACATAGCGTGGCATCTTTTAGCCTCCCTTTGGGAGTCAGGTGCAGCCGCTTCCTCCCCACTCTGCTGCAGGGGTATCCAGAGGCTCAGGAGAACACATCTGTCTCCCTCTGGGTGGGGGCGTGGCCACCGCAGAGCACGCGACACACTGTAAGCTTATTCCTTTAGTTGCGTCTTTCACAACGTTGGTGCTTGGGAAACAGTTCAGTGATGTCCCTCTACCCACAGTTAACTGTCACACCTGCCTTCATTCCCTTTTTGGTAGCATCAGCTCATCCTTCAAGGGGAAGATGTTGGACACCCGAGGCAGTCATGAATCATACCCCACCATCTGCGAGTTTGTGGATAATTGATACATATCTGTTATTTTGCTGGTAGCTTTGTAAATGATGAGCCATACATGAAAACAAAAAAAAAAAAAGTAAGGCCAGATAAAAAGGATTAGCTGCATTATCCAATATATGTAATTCATATATATGCATATATATTATATATAAAGTACAAAGCCTCCTGAGTAGCTGGGATTAAAGGAGTGACCCACAGTGCCTGGCTACTATGGCTTTGCTATCAGTAGACATCTATCTTGTGCTTTCATGTAAGAAGTAAGTGCTAGACCAGGAAAGCAGGAGCAGAGAAGGAACTCCCTGCTTCCTTGCCTTCTAATCAGCTTTCTTTCCCTGACTGTGGGAGCCCCAGAGATGACCAAGGATGTCCTGGAAGGCAAGCAGACAGGACACCCTTACACCTGCCCCTGCACAAAGCCTGATCGGGAGGATTATTGGGGTAGGGACTCAGGTGCCCAAGAAGCCAGGCTGTGGGCCCTCTTCCCTTACACAGCGGACAATATCAAAGCTCAGAGGCTTGAACTGAAAAAGGTGTGAATTTGTAGCCAGTATTTAAAAATGAGAAGAAAGCCACACGTGGGTGGCTCACGCCTGTAATCCTAGCTACCCAGGAGGCTGCGATCTGAGGATCGTGGTTCAAAGCCAGCCTGGGCAGCAAAGTCTGTGAGACTCTCATCTCCAATAAAAGCAGGGGAGAGATTTCACATTATGTTTTATAGCACTCATTGAAAAATAGTGATATGAACTTAATTTTTTATGCCGGTCCTGAGGCTTGAACTCAGGGCCTGAGCACTGTCCCTGAGCTTCCCAAAACTCCCTCAAGGTTGGTGCTCTACCACTTGAGCCACAGCCCCACTTGTTTTCTTCAGTAGTTTATTGGAGATGAGATCATGTCTTTGAGACACAGTCCTCAGATCTTAGCCTCCTGAGAAGCTAGGATTATAGGCATGGGACACTGATGCCTGGGTTGACACATTTTTTTTTTTTTTTGCCAGTCCTAGAGCTTTAACTCAGAGCCTGGGCATTGTCCCTGATGAGCTTCTTTTGCTCAAAAGGCTAGAACTCTTATCACTTGAGCCACAGTACCACTTCTGGCCTTTTCTGTTTATGTGGTACTGAGGAGTCGAACCCAGGGCTTCATGTGTGCTAAACAAGCCCTCTACCACTGAGCCACATTCCTAGCCCTACATGAATGTTTCGATGGGCATTCTGACAGGACGATCCCTGGCTGGACCTGGGCTGTGGCTGCCCGCTCCTGCGCGCACACACCCTCCGGCTGGCCAC